TTTAAGGGGTTAACCGCATCTCCTCCTCTTATACACGGTCATCTTGCATTGATTAACATCACCAAATTCCGAAGGCGGTGTTAAAAAGCGATTAACTTCGCTGTAGAACGTTTGAGTATACGAACGTTACAAATCTGGTAGATGGTTTAACCAAAGATGGTTTATACACCACTAATTAAGGGGTTAAATAAATATGTTGTAATGTATCTCCATATGTCATTGTAAGTATCTCACTCTTCATAAGGACACTATTTGTACTGTTGTAAAAATTTTTATCTGAGTTCAGTTTTACAGTATGGAAGCAATCCATCACAAACACTTTATATATAAACAACAATAAATACAAACATAAAAAATAAGGATTAGCTGTTCCTCGGTTGCTGGCAAGATTTACTTAATGAAAAAAGAGAAAAAAAAATTATTGTCCTAAGCCAAACCTCTCTGTTTAAGTGATCAGAGTAGAAGCCTTTCCCAGAAATGCAGGTGCATGACCCACTGAAACGTTTTGAGATGTAAGTTCAATTTGGAAGACCATTTCGAAAAAATCTGAGACAATGCCATATCTTACTAGGGGCTGTTTAGCCTGCATTAACAACAGGATATGTACAGTATGTGCACTGCTGTGGAACACATTAGGTTTCCTTGACTGGCAAGCACTAGCGAGATTTAACCCTTTGTGAGCTGGGTAGAGTAGGTGAGTATTTTAGTGAAACACCGGGCATGTCTACTTATTATCTGTAAGATTAAACTAGTTCCCTGTACTTACTGGAGTAGAAGAGTAAATTTCTTATTGTTATCTCGATTTTATTTTAACCCATAAAGGACTAATGTTGATGTATACTTCATCCTATCGATCTGGTCTACCAATATGCTATTCGGAAATAGAATTGTCCAACTCACTTAATTACGATAACAAATAAGGTGAAGAGAGGAAATGACCTTATATGCTGACAAAGGGTTTTTGAGGACCAGACTGGGAAGACCACAAAACACATCATTGATCCTTCTGAAGTTATGCAGGGAAATTCTGGAGTTATACAAACACAACTTAGTTTGTGAGAAGTGCTTGAATGTCCCATGTGTGTCTTGTTAGTTTACGTTTAATAATATCTCTAACACCATCAATTTGGATTGGATTGTCAGGTACTTTCTAGATACCTACAAAATCGCACTGTCATGCACGGAAACGTTTATTACGGGTATTAGGACTTTCCTTGAAATAAAATAATTTTACATCATGAGCGGAATTGCATAAATCAACTTTTACTTGTAAGAAACCCTTAGGGGAATATAGCAAGTGACGAGTTTGCTGGATATGAGAACAAGTCTTGTAGTTGAGCAAGGCCTTCTCAAGTATGATTCAAATCTAACTCCAGGTGGCGCTGAGCCCAAAGTGCTTAATTGCTGTATACTTTGGCAAAATTCAGATTATTTGCACAAAGGCTTTTAATTAGAAAACTATACCAAGCCCTTGGGCAATGCAAATACTAAGCCAGTTGGCACCCTTTTAAATGAAAGGGACAGTACTTCCTTCTCTTAAAGAGTTGTTTTTTTTATAAGTACATGTTAACTCGTTTGCAGTTAATACGGAAAATAAATAGTTCTGAGCACTCTATGGCCCACCAAATTTCAGTAGGCCTACAAAACTCTAGACAGCCTTTTTGTTCAAACTCTTGACATTTGACGTATTAAAGACCCAGAACAAGAAGTCTGTTGAGTAATGCATTATGTTTGAGTATGAATGAGAGGCCACATTTATGTGACATACTTGATGTGTCCATTTCCAAAACTGTGTACATGTTGTCTTAAAATCTTTTCAGAAGTTTTACGTCACTTGTATATAGAAAAAAACACATATTTACCAATATGCACCTGACTTCCTTTATTTCTGACCGACTGCTTTTTAAACATGTATCGATTACATTTTATATATAACTATTGCAGAAAACAGAAGAATTGGGCATGTGCCTTGTTTGTACGCTTTACACAATGCTTTTTATTTGGACCTGGTTATAAAATATGGTTACCACTTTGAGTAGCACAAGTCTGCTCTATGCAACGCGAGCTTCGAAAGGTTTAAAATATTCTACAGACAGCTTTTAATGTTGTTCTGAATAATGCAAACTAAAGCATGCTTGTGAACTTACAGGACTATTCTCTAAATTGTGCATTGTCAGGCATATAAAGGGAATTAAAAGTGAAGTCTACATTTAAAAAAAAAAATCCAAGCAAGCTATGTTTTCATTTATTAGTGAAAGGTCTGTCTCACAAGAAAAGTGTTCTAAAAGAGTGGCCTCCCACTTCTAAAATAGCTGGAATGAAAAGGTTAACTTTTAGCCTTGACCAAATAATTGTTCAAGAGCGAGTAAGGTATTGCTTGCTCTATGGCACACAAAGGGTTAGCTTGCACCTTTATTACCCCACTATGGAATACAGTGTCTGAATGGATATTCAAAGGGCACAGGTTTCATGCACAAACAGCCCCTGTACAGCACTAAGAAAGGCTCAGTGTTACTGTTTCCTAGAACTGAGGATCTTCTGCTGTAAGCCCTCCAAGAAAAAGGTTTGGGTTTTTTTAGTTTTTTTTTTTTTTTTTATTAGTTACTAAGAAAAGAATGGTGATGTAAAGCGCTAACCAGGTCTTAACTAGAGTGTGATATTTATAGGGGTTAAACATATTTCAAAAGCAGGCTGTATGTGGCTTTTAACCCTTCAGCACTGCAGGAGGTACACACCCCTGTGCTATAATAAACTGGGGATAGTTTAGCAGGGGTGTAAAATGTCCTCAAAAAGAACAAATATATTGTCAATCTAGCCCTAAAGAACAAGGCACTGCTCGCCAGTGGGGAAGCTGTAAGGGTTAATATTCTGAGCGTCTAGTTCTAACTTGATACTCTCATTAGTGACTTTGCCAAGAGTAAGGGGAAAAAAATTAACCCATTCCGCTTCTTCATAAAAGAGCTCTTTTAATATTTTGAGAGATTTCTTCCAAAAATTAAGCCCTGCGGCTTTAGGATTTTGGTCTTGCGCCAGGCAATTCCCAGTACTCCAGGCGAACGAGAGTCATAGATAATTTATTTAACATGTTGACTTTTTACTATTATCCCAAAAGTTATCCATTTTTACTGTTTCTGACAGTGTAAAAACTTTCCGCTTGTCCCAGTAGATATCAAACCTACATTGTATTGCACTGAATTATCCTTTTAACTAAATATTACAGTATTTGTTCAGCTATACTTTGAACTTTGCAGCCAGTTTGTGAGCTACACAGATAAAGGGGACTATTGTGAATGTAGGTGGGAAGAAGATTGATGGCTAATCGGGGAACTTCAGATATTTGTCAACTACATTTCCCATGATGCTTAACCCTCCATTAAGATCATAAACAACTGCAGTGCCAAGTTTAGCCATCACTGTGGTGGAGGGATGGAAAATTTGGAATAGTAGTTTGGGATTATGCAAGTGTTGCTGTTAAGGTTAATGAGGGATTTATAATAAATAATAATAATAATGTAACATGATCAGGAGAAAACGTAAGTGGAAGATCTACTTTTAACCCTTTGAATACCAGTTGGCTCTGTTACAACAGCAGGAGAGACTGTACGTTTAACTCTTTGAATACCAGTTGCTCTGTTACAAGAGCAAGAGACTGTAAGTTTAACCCTATGAATACCAGTTGCTCTGTTAAAAGAGCAGGAGAGAAGTAAGTTTAACCCTATGAATACCAGTTGGCTCTGTTAAAAGAGAAGGAGAGAAGTAAGTTTAACCCTATGAATACCAGTTGCTCTGTTAAAAGAGCAGGAGACTGTAAGTTTAACCCTATGAATACAAGTTGCTCTGTTAAAAGAGCAGGAGAGAAGTAAGTTTAACCCTATGAATACCAGTTGCTCTGTTAAAAGAGCAGGAGAGAAGTAAGTTTAACCCTATGAATACCAGCTGGCTCTGTTACAAGAGCAGGAGAGACTGTAAGTTTAACCCTATAAATACCAGTTGGCTCTGTTACAAGAGCAGGAGAGACTGTAAGTTTAACCCTATGAATGCCAGTTGCTCTGTTACAAGAGCAGAGGAGACTGTAAGTTTAACTCTATGAATAACAGTTGGCTCTGTTACAAGAGCAGGAGAGACTGTAAGTTTAACCCTATGCATACCAGTTGGCTCTGTTACAAGAGCAGGAGAGACTGTAAGTTTAACCCTATGCATACCAGTTGGCTCTGTTACAAAAGTGGGGAAAGAACTCTAAATGTAACCCTGTCAGTACCTGTGTTTGTTCTGTTACAGAAGTAGGAGAAACTGTGACTTTTTTTTTAACTCTTTCAGCTCCTGATGATTTTTACATTAGCAAACTTAACCCTTTGAGTTCCTGCTGACTCTGCACTACTACAGTTTTCACATATTGCAGAGCCCTCTGGCACTTAAATAGTTAATGACCTGAGAATCCGTGTCTCATGGATTAGCATTAGCCAATTAGAGCAGAGGAAAGAAGTGGTGAAAAGGCATATTCACTGATACTCTGTTACTGTACTTAAGGGAACCAGCTCTCCAACCAGCACATTAACCCTTGCAGTTATTGAGTGAAGTTAGCAGGTCTTTCTGGCTTTATGGACAGCTAGGATTAGCAGGGGAAGGGGGAGGGGGGCAATGTAGACCAACTTTACATCTGGGACAGCAAGGCTCCAACACAGTAAAAGTAAATATTGTATCAGTGAAGGAGGGATACATCTGTTTTCCTGCAGATCTAATAGCATTAGTGAGCACCCTTCCAATTAAACTGTGTGAAAGTGACAGCTTTGTGCATGGCTTGTCCCAGCACAGAGCTATGCATGCATACAGTGTGCAGCAGCCCCACTGAGATGTCCTGGCCAGCCAGCCCTCTCCCTCCTCCTCTATAGTTGGTGGAGGTGGCTGGGAGCCAGGAGAAGGAAGGGCTTGTTCCTCCTCGGACTACGCACGAGATGAGCTCACACACATCAAAGCCTCTGGAGGGAGGGATCACTGGAAGGCTTGCCGACAAAGCTCCATAAATTCCAGCACACGGTGCCCGGCTCCTTCACAATCCCTCCAGCAATGAACCAGTGTGCACAAGAAGAAGGAGCTTGCTGCTGGTCCTGAGATCTAAGGTCTAAGATCCAGAGCAAGCGACCACTGGCAGTTCAGGAGACTGTGCTAGTAACCACCAGAGCTGAAGACCCCGAAGTAGCTGCTGCATGCACTGATTTGCAGTGAGCCCTGTGAACAAAAAAAAGCTGACTCTTCTGCTGATAGTTGTCTTCTGACTCTTCTAGGAATGGGTTGTGTGTACTATTACCTGCTGCTATGCATGGCAGCCCTTGCCTATGCCAAGTCAGTTCCAGGCAGTTCCATGGATGAGGAGCTAACTGCTCCAGTTAGAGTAAATGAAGGAACATCTGACAGTGGGAAGGTCACCTACCGCATGGACGTTTTTGGAGAAGTTCTGACCCTGGACTTAGAGGCAGATTCCAGTTTCTTAGCCCCTGACTTCAGTCTGCAATATGTTGGTACCCCAAAGTCCACTGGAGAAGGACCTGAGGATTCTTTGGCCAACCTGGCTAAATGCTTCTATTCTGGCACTGTCAATGGGGACCCGTCTTCTAGTGCTGCCCTGAGTCTGTGTGCAGGTATCAAAGGGGCTTTTTACTACCTTGGACAAGAGTACTTCATTCAGCCCAGCAACCACACGCTGACTTCTTCCAGCGACCCCAACCCACTGGTGCTCCATCTGATCCGCAGGAGGAGCCGGGCTAAAGCTAAGTGTGGGGTAACTGACCTGCCCATCCAGACCACAGAATCTGAGGAGCCACAGTCTCCAAAAACCATGACATCCACAGGTAGGTCACTCAGTGCACTGGGGTTCTCTGTGCATGGAGAGTCTGTGAGTGATTGAAGTATCAGAGAATGATAGATAGTAACAGTTTGTAGCACATCTGGCAACAAATCTGTAAATGCTATTCAACACCAAATATCAATGTGTATGTGTTTATAAAGACGTGCATTCAGAGTAAATATTTAGAAAGCTTATAGCAGATGACAATAGAAGCATGCTTGTGCAATATAGCAATGTAATTATAGTGTTTTCTTTTAAAATCTAATAAAGTGTAATGCAGGGCTTCTAAAACCTCAGGACCTCACAATTTGTAGTAAGTATATGAAACGTTGTATATTGATACCTGTAGTGGTTGCCCCTTAGAAATAGCTGGGTTGGCACAAAACCTGTCTTTAAGACTTCTCCAAACTTTGAAGACTTGTTAACTACTGAACTGTCTCCTTACTCCCAGGCTCTCATAGTGCAGGGCTGTAGTGCAAAATGTAGATTACTAGAAAGTAAAGTATCTTGGGAGTTGTAGTTCTACAACATCTGGAGATACACCTTTTGGGCACCCCTGCTTTAGTGTGTATTAGTGATAGCATATCCTATAGATCACAATCATTGAACCTGCATGGTATTGGAAGTAGGTAAAGTTTAGGAGGAGAGCTACAGGTAGCTGGCTAAACCATGCAGATATTATTGCAAAATGATATCATTGCAATAATTAAGCAAGCCCATGCTTGCACAGCCCTACTTAGTGTTGTGAAAATAATTACATCTTCCAATGGTGCACACATATAAATCAGCTTGTAAAACCTCTTATTTTTCCATAAAAACATGTGGCATTGGAGATGATAAAACACAAAACATGTGTTTCTCTTGGCCACAGGGCTTTGTGTGGTTACATTCATTTTGAATGCATATATGCACCATAGGCATTGCAGAATTGTATGCTGACCTCCCTGTAGCTTGCAGGGTTAATGACTAAAGTGTGAATTGTTAGGAACGTCTTGTTGTAGGCCAAAATAGTCAAGCTAAAAACATAGGAGGCTTAGAGAATTTTTTTAATTTATCTTCAGCTGCTGTGTCCTGAAATGTAAAAACTGTCTTCATTCATTTTGAATTCTGCACCATAAACACTTTAGTAAATAATCTTCTCAGTGGTTTGTAAATGGTTAACTCTGGCAGCTCCTTAAAGAGGGGAAGGGTCAGTGGAGACACTGAATGTCAGGACAAGGGTATGGTGTGCTTCAGTAGGGCTGTGGTTTCAGGGTCAGAGTTGTAGTCGGATATTTGGCAGGAGTCACAAGTACTGCACTGTGATTCCACGTGGAAGAGAGTGACCTAATAACTACTCCTTAAATGCAAAAAGATGGAAGGTGACTCATATCTACGCTGCTCGGCCAAGAGATGACTGAAAGGCCTTCTGCAGGAAAAGTTATTTCATTTGCAGATCTCAAGTTATTTTTTAGAGCACTACAGCAGAATAAGTTCACTTTTCATGGCTTTTGTTATTTTTACATATTTTCTCACACAATTCTAAAACATTTAATTTGTATGAGTGTATTAATTCTAATATTTGCATTTTTTTTTTTTTTAGGATCAGGAAATACAAGAAAAAAAAGATTTGTATCCAGTCCACGTTACTTGGAAACTTTGCTTGTGGCTGACCAATCTATGGCAGAATTCCATGGAAGCAGCTTAAAACACTACTTACTCACATTAATGTCTGTAGCTTCCAAGCTCTACAAACATCCCAGCATCCGAAATTCAATCAGCCTGGTGGTGGTAAAGATTCTCGTTATCTACGAGGATCAAAAAGGTCCAGAAATTACCACCAATGCAGCTTTGACCCTAAGAAACTTTTGCCACTGGCAGAAACAACTGAACCCTGTGAGCGACCGCCATGCAGAACACTACGATACTGCAATACTTTTTACGAGACAGGTAAGATAACATTACTTTCATGACAACAAGTTCTTATCTCTTCATAAAGTTTTCAATAAGTTAGTGAACATTCATTAGACCACCACCGAAAATTAGATTTAGCGGTACCGAACGATTCCAATGATTCCCAAAATTTGAAACAATATATATAGTATTTATACAAGGCTAGCAGTGAAAGTCAACTGTCTCCTGCCAAAAAGAGTTTACTTATCTGATTAATAACCTAACTGTATTTTTTTTTCTTTTTTATAGGATCTTTGTGGTGCCCAGACATGTGACACCCTTGGGATGGCTGATGTTGGAACAGTCTGTGATCCAAGTCGTAGTTGCTCAGTTATTGAAGATGACGGCTTGCAAGCAGCCTTTACAACAGCCCACGAATTAGGTATGAAAACATAGGCACAATTAAGTTCCAGACTCTCATGCTTGGGTTCAGACTTATCATTATTTATTTTATACCCAAGCAAACTTTTCTGATAGTAAAATTCAGTATTTAAAGTTGGAAATGGGGCCTCCAGTGTACATCTGGAGTAAGATGGGTTTAGCTCATCATTCACAGCTGTGACCATCTTTTATGGATTAGGACATAAAAAATAGAAAGAAATTGTGCAATATTAAGCTCAGAATACTTTTTCTTTGTTTTATGGAAACACTTGGCCATTTGGTTTGTTTAAACTGCTTTAAGATGATCATATCTCAAACTGGATGTTTCTCTCAAGAGCATGTTGAATTTATCTAAAACAAATAGCAAAGTGGTGTGTACACAAGGGGATAGTTCAACATTGCAAACAAAACCATAGCATGATAATCTAAAAATTAATATATATTTTTATTTTTTAGGTCATGTGTTCAATATGCCACATGATGATGCAAAACAGTGTGCCACCTACAATGTTGCAAACCAGGATTCACACATGATGGCATCTATGCTTTCCAACCTGGACAGACGAGAGCCATGGTCTCCTTGCAGTGCATACATGATAACATCCTTTTTGGACAATGGACATGGTAATTAAAAATATGAAATGTATAAATACAATAATGATGGGATTAACTGTAGTCTGAGAAACAAAGGGGAGGGATGGTTAGTTTGATACACAAAACTTATAGAAGCTACTTTTGAGAACATAACATTTACTATCTGCCATTCAGCACCAACAGTAAGTTTTGGTTGATTGACAAATGACTTGCAAACTGTACACCAAACTATCCATAGCCGAAAAGAATAACCATGTTTGCCAAGTTAAAATTATTTTCAAGTCTGATATTTTCACTTAAATTTTAAGTCAGGAGTCAACTCAAAAAGACTTGCGGTTTAGTACATATGCCACTGTTAGGTTAAAGAAAAATTACATGGGAACAGCCTGTGTAAGATAATTAAATCAGTGCTAACTTTATCCAAAAATGTCTAATTTTTCAGGAGAATGCTTACTGGACAAGCCCAACAGACCAATCCAGCTCCCCTCAGATCTCCCTGGAACACTGTACGATGCCAATAAGCAATGCCAATTTACATTTGGAGATGAGTCCAGACATTGCCCAGATGCCGCTAGCACGTGTACGACCTTGTGGTGCACCGGAGTCTCCGGAGGGCTGCTCGTGTGCCAAACTAAACACTTCCCATGGGCAGATGGAACAACTTGTGGAGAAGGGAAATGGTGTATGAATGGAAAGTGTGTAGACCAGGCCGACAAGAAGCACTACGAGGTACTTAATTTTTACTTCAAGTTTGATTTCAATTATGTAGGGGAATTTTGGGGGTTTTTTCAGTGAATTATCTCTAGGTCATCGTATAAAAGATATGTGCTATATTGACAATCAGCTTATAACTTAACTAACTAACTTCATTTAACCAGTGTCATAGAGGGTAATTATTAAAGCTATGAAATATATGAATATGCATTTGATGTTAACTGCAAAAAAATTAAGTTGTATTAATAAGTAATGTTTCACAATATCTATATTTCACAATAGATTCCAGTTCATGGTGGCTGGGGACCCTGGGGTCGCTGGGGTGAATGTTCTAGAACATGTGGAGGAGGCATCCAATATTCTCTTCGAGAGTGTGACAGTCCTGTCCCTGAAAATGGTGGGAAATATTGTGAAGGAAAGCGGGTGCAGTATCGATCATGCAATATTGAGGACTGTCCTTATAATAATGGTAAGATTTTTTTTTTATATATATATATATATTTTATATTGTGTAAAAATGGAACGAATGCAAAAAAAAAGGCAAAATAAAAGTTTTCACAACATTGTAATGTTTAACTTGTATTCCACAGGTAAAACATTCAGAGAGGAGCAATGCGAAGTGCACAATGATCTTTCCAAGTCTCCTTTTGGCAATGGGCCTGCAGTGGAATGGACCCCCAAATTTGCAGGTGTTCCCCCGAAAGATCGCTGCAAACTTATGTGTCGGGCAAAAGGAACAGGATATTTCTTTGTATTGAATCCCAAGGTATTTGTGATATATTGCCATCTAATTCTTAGATTAAAGAAGGTTGGATTGGATGTCCACAGAAATGAGTTACAATGTATTAAACCGTGTTATCTCCTTCATTTTGACTCTACATCCCTTATAATTATATTATTGGCATGCTGATAGTAGATCAATATCCCTCTATAAAAAAATAATCTCTCTTTACCTTTTATATGTTGTACCAAATGTACTAATTGAATTGGTATTTTGTGTAACTAAGTATATTTAGTTATGCATATGCTAAAATTATATCAACAAAAAGCCCCAAACATCTCCCTAGGAGGACTTTTATTTATACAATAGTTAGATCATTTGTTTGATGCAGACGGAGAGACAGCTACCTACCTGTCATTACAATTAGTATCCCATTTACAAGTATGTAAAACATTTACCATTTAAAAAACAAGTCTATATTTCCATTGAAAACCACTTTTTTTTCTGTAAAGAGATCTACAGAGTGCAAGCCAATGATTTATCTTACTTGACATGACCTTAGTATTAATGAGTATTCTGTTTCTTAACTTGCTTCATAGAACTAGTGTTGTGTTTTAAAGTATTCACATGATCTGCCCACTGCTTTAAAAATATATTGTTTAGATTATTCTAGGAATTATGCACACATTCAATATTTATTTTAATCTAGGAATTATGCACACATTCAATATTTATTTTTTTATTGATTGTGATATATCCAATCGCATAGACTGACATTGTCTTCTCACCTGTTTTCTCCAGGTAGTTGATGGTACCCCGTGTAGTCCAGATTCCACCTCAGTCTGTATACAAGGTCAATGTGTCAAAGCTGGCTGTGACCGAGTAATTGGCTCCAGCAAGAAGTTTGACAAGTGTGGAATTTGTGGAGGTAATGGATCGACCTGCAAGAAAGTTTCCGGCACCTTTAGTAACGCACGGTATGTTAAAAAGTTTAAGTTTTTTCTTTACCTTCTGGTCAGTCACTTTGGCCTATATGTTAACATGTCCACCCCTTGTCTTCACATTTCTGTCATCCCATGTCCACCTCTTCTTTTTTCATCTCTATTTGAAAAACTTTTACATATGGTGTATTATTTAAAGTATCCTATTGTACACATTCTGATTGAGAATATTCATACAGGTGCATGATCTTTCATTTGGTATTTTGTTTCAATCCACCCACCCCATTGTCAACATATAAGCCCCCCAGTCATCAAATATTTCCATGTTCCCTAAAATGATTTCCACTTAATTACCTACTCAACTTCCTACAGCTGTAAATGTGATTTCGTTAGGTTTTGGGGAAAGAACCTATTGCTCAATATTTTGGTTCCCCTAAGAGCAAATGGTTCTGTCCAGCTCCATATACTAGTTATCTTTCCAAAATCACTATGTAATAGTTTGCAGAGCTCTAAAACCAAACACTATGTCTTGTCACCCTTCTTTTTACAAGCATTTTTTACAATCCATTTTTTTTCTTCACTATGTGCTTTACTTAAACCAGTTTTATAGTTTGATGACATACAATTCACATTTAGGTAACATGAAAGGCATCAGAAATCTCTATCAACATTTGTTATTTAAACTGCAATTGAGTGAAATAGCATTGGTGCTGTGGCTTGGTACCACACTTATTGACTATATAGATAATATGCAATGATTTTTGACCTCATTTGTTTTATTTTCTTTGCAGACCTGGCTACCATGATGTTGTGACCATTCCAGCTGGAGCAACCAATGTTGAAGTCAAACAACGAAATAATAGAGGTTCAAGACACGATGGCAGCTTTTTGGCAATTAAGGCAACTGATGGCAGTTATATTCTTAATGGTGGTTATACACTATCAACTATGGAACAAGACATTACTCATAATGGAAACATACTGAGGTATAGTGGATCTTCAGCAGCTTTAGAAAGGATTCGCAGCTTTGGTACTCTGAAAGAGCCTATAACTATCCAAGTTCTTACAGTGGGAGAGTCACATCGGCTGAAGATCAAGTACATATATTTTGTCAAGAAACCAGCTCAGTCAGAGAAGATTTCTAATAAAAAGAAGGAATCTTTTAATGCCATACGAGAGACAATTCTCTCAGAATGGGTCATTGAAGAATGGGGAGAATGTTCAAAGACATGTGGGTTAGGATGGCAGAGAAGATCTGTAGAATGCAAAGATCTAAGGGGTCAACTTTCAGCAGACTGTGCCAAAGAATTGAAGCCCGATGACATCCGACCATGTGCAGACACACCATGTCCTCAATGGCAGCTTGGAAATTGGTCATCCTGTTCTAAGACTTGTGGGAAGGGTTTCAAAAAGCGGTTTTTAAACTGTGTTTCATACGAAGGTAACAATCTGCCTCAGGAAAGCTGTGATCCTCTAAAAAAGCCAAAACATTTGATAGACTTCTGTACTATTTCCAACTGTAGTTAGAAAGCATCCGATTTTGAAAAAATGTTAGGTTCTATCAAAAATCAATATGCTGTAAGCAGAGTCTGGTGGAAAGAGTCTGTTGCACGTGCAAACCTGAGGTTCAAAAGTTGTTGAATGGCAACAGAGCAAATAACTGCTGTGGGGTCTACATCGTGAAGCTTAATACCAATTGCACGTTTTGGAAGTATGGTGAATTGATGTCCTTCGTTCATCTTTAGAAAATCCCTGGGGCTACAAAAGTTTAGAATGTCTGTCATCAGTGAAAAGGAATGGAGACAATTCCATTTTTGCCAAATTAGAGAAATGAGCCTCAGGTGTTTCTAACAATTATTTAGCCTGATATGTTTGAAACTTCTAACTCAGTGGGCAGGCAAATGTCTTCATCTTTGTACTAGTACTTGGTCAGGGTCAACCTACCTCAGTTACGAAGGCCAAAAACAGGAGTAGAAAATTATATTCAGCATAGTTTGTTGTGGCTGCTATTGTATTACAGTATATTTTTATAAAGAAAATAAGCAATATTCTCATCCATAAACTTTATGAATATTCCGTGGACCAAATCTTGGCTGTATTATCATACCCTAATGTACTGCTTTCCAACAAAAGTTCTGTGAGCCAGATGTTGTCCGTGCAAACTATTACATCATTATTTTTACAGGCACTGGCTCAGTATAGAATTGAAAAGGTCTTTTGATGACCCCATTAAGAAGTTGGACAGTACCTTTCTATTTTTTAAATTCTCAGTCGGTCCACAAGATCCACAAGCATTGCAGGTTTTAAGGATTTTCTTTAAGTAACAAAATGAATACATTAAAAAATCCACCTCTTTTAATGGGATCATAGCCTTGAAAGCTGTCTAATTGGTTACTAGCATTGAGAAATTGTTTCTTAATGGTAGGAGAAAAAGTATGAATGATAGTGAAGTCGATGACATGTGTGCATGAATGTGTTGGCTTTTTACACCAAAAAGGGTTTACTTACAGTATAGTTACAAAGTACTTTAGCTCTTGTGGGTCAAAAGTTAACACAATGAAGTGTAATCTACGTGTAGGCCAGTATTGAGTACAAGATAGAAATATATATCTATAGAGATGTAAACAATGGGGGATTTTAAATAAATAAGTATATTTTAGGAATATTACATGTTCCTTGAAAAATGCAATATGGAAAAAAATAAAATAAAAATAATTATACCAGGGATGGCCCACTGGCAGCTCATCAGCTGTTGTTGGACTAAAAATCCCAAGTATCCAAGAGGATTATGGGAGTTATCGTTCAAGAACCACTTTGGAGTCAAAGTAGACCACCCCTTTGGTAGACAGTCCTGAGGATTGCAGGTTTATCCACAACTGTTAACCAACCAATATTTGCCGTACGTCTATGCAAGGTTATAGACTCTTTGAGAATATGATTTTATTTTATGTATGTATATATATATCTATGAAATGTACTTTATAAGTATTCGCTTTTTCTCTTCCATGAAGGGTATGTCCAGAGGACACATATTGAACCTATTTATTTTTGTACATCAATGATTATATTTTAAGTTATCGCTTCTTATAACATAGAGTATTTATGCATTATAATGTTAATAGAAATAATAAAAAATACAATTACAAAAATATTCCTGTTTGTTTTCTTCTTTGAAAATTACTAGATTTATGAATTTATATGTCAAAGCTGTTGGTTATTATATATGTGTATTAAGTTGCAAATTTGAATTAAGAAAAAAAGTATGGCCTCTAGAACTAAGGTAATCAGTGGAAACTCTCCAACTGTGGTGAGACTACAAGTCCCAAAGTGCTCAGCAACATGTCTATGTGTGTAGATTGCAGAGTTTCACCTGAGTAAAATCTCCACAACAATTGGAAGGAGAACTACATTGGCGAGAGAAATTGAGTTTATACACTTATTTCTAAACTTGCAGACCTAGTGTGTCATTTGTTTTCCATGACTAGCAAAGAGCAATCATTTATCTTGAAAGACTGTGTCAGCCCTTTGATTCTAAGCCAAATAGCTGTGATGTGCATGAAACAGCTGGTGTTTTGTCCCATGAAATTAACATGTTAAAAGTGAGTATTTACTACCAAATCCTTTTTATTTTTTTTATTTTTTTTCCTTGACAGTAAAAAAAATGCTTCCTGGGAATTATCACAGAAGTGTTATAATCGCGTTGCATAATTATGTAAGTTAAAATAAAATAAATGTCATTATCACCAGGAAATAGCTTGTAAAGAATGCAATCAAGGGTTGCACGTTGAGTCGCAGATATAAGTGTTTTTTTGGAAATAACATATGTTTCATGTGTTTTCAATACACTAATTTCCACTTCCAGTATTTTATGTGCTTCGTATTGCTTATGTCACCGGGCATAAATTTTAATTTGTTTTTCTTCAAGGTTTGCAAAAGGTTACTAAAGAGCACCAACTTTTTTCTGTTTTCAGGATGTACAGACCACATATTTTAACCTATAAAAACGATAATAAAGATTTCCTATAGCATTACCCTGCCACCACCCCCGTTCAAAACTTAAGCTGTAACATCCACAGGAACATTTAGGACTCTTGTAAAATGCAAACCATTCGTTATAGAGCCTTCAAAAGAAAAGTTGGATTGTGAAGCAAGGAACGATGACTACCCTTTGTTGTTTTAAAAAACGATGACGTTAAACAGAAACCAAATTGTGTCATCTTTGCAAGTTTAAATCCACTCTGGCAAGAAGAATACATAACGTGGCGTGTTCATTAAGTCAAAATTGATATTTTTCCAGCGCGAAAAAGCAATCCATTTTGGAAAGAGTTTTGTAAATCGTCCAATGTGTTTTTGTTTTTTTTAAATTACTCTGTGTGGGTAGAAAAGAGTGGGAATACTCGTAAGAGCCAGCTCTGCTTTTTTCAGTTTAAACTAACAAGATTGTATTTTAACTCAAGAGCTTCGTTATTAGTCTTTGCTTAGGCCCAACATCCTTGACCATAAATTAGCCTATCAATGAGTCTTTCTCTGCGATAGTTAATAGGGTTTTATCCTATAACATAAACAGTTCCTGTACACTCTTTATTTCAATAACACGCCAACCGCACTATCTAAACACTATAACCAAATATTTACAGATGCTGATTAACAATTTATATGTAACACTCTCCATAAAGTGTACTCTCTGAGAATTTTGGTTTGGGTACTGTTCAGACTATATAATACAACACTTTGGTTGCATAATTACTGTCAGCTCTAAGAACGAACGTCAAGAAGGAAATATGATGTGCTTTGTTTAATCTCTTTGAAGAACCCTGCACTTTGTTTAATGCATTTATAAAGAGCTTGGCAATCAAAGGGAACAATGTCCCAGCTAATGGCCACACATGATGTTTTTTGGCACTCTTTAGTTTCAAAAAAACTGTTGTAAATCTCCCATGATCAATGATTTAATCACATACATTTACATACGAAAGGGGTGAGAATAATGAGTCCCAAGCACCCATGCAGATCTCAATTTGTCATTTGATATATGTCCAAGTAAAAAAAAAAGGTCTTCTGTCTCATGCTTTAGTCTCCGCAACGCCACCAAAGGCTAAAGTATTGTGTATGAGAAATATTTCTGGCCATAGATATCAATAAAAACACATGAGTTCACACAGTGCAGTTTTCAAAATTAAGCGGGGTTGAATAGATAGAACGTGTTTCTTTTAGCGCCACCTTGTGCTCACCATCACACATTACACCCCATAGAATCTCTGTACAAACATACACAATTAAGCTGCAGCAATGACTATAGGATACACCAGCCCCAATACATACAATAAAACAAAAAAAAAAAAACGTTACGTGCTAACTATGCCAAATCCCTACAAACATTTAAATAACTGGAGCTTTTTTAGTATCACTCCAATGGCTATTAAAGTGTAAGCTCACTGCCAAGTCAAGGCAAAACCTCATAGGTGAATCCAATACTCCAATATCTCTAGTAAGACAGATATACAATTTTAATATACTAAATTGCATTAAAGTACTTTAAAATCAATTGCAATATATTAACATTTATTTAAGTCTTGCAAGGTTAACAAGAAACATCAGAAATATATTTTCAATATATTTTTTTAATTTCAAGGACATAGGGCATTCCACATTTTAATTCTAGTTAGTGACATTATTTGGTTGATGGTGTTTGTGTTTTTAGATGCTCCACTTGATAAGCTGTTTTTTTTCCTTTGATCTACGTGAATCACATGTAATTTGAACTGGTGTATTGCAATAAGATTATGTATTTCTACAATGTCAATATTTCAGTTAAATGTTAGTTAGCTAAAACTAATGAGGTTCAGACTTCGAGACTCGCTAGTAAATTATTTGTTTTTATTTTTTAATTATGCAATTGTCATGTTCAGGTATATTTGAAATGTAATTAAAACCTTGTCTCAAAATCCTGCTGCATCTCGTTTCTCCTCTCATCAGAATTGTCAATTTTAGGTATCTCCTTGAATACCCCACCAGCCAGCTCTAAATAAATTCTGCTGTAAGTGGACGGATGGAAAATCATCCCTTCTACTTCCTGTCCAGTCTCGCACACAGACACTGGAAGCGCTGGGACAGAACTGAGTTTTGTCATAAAGCTTGAATGTAATCCTCTACTTTGGACACCAGTTCTGTAACAGTGTTCACACTGGGTACCATTAAATAAGTTCCAAGCCTCTCTAGAGTCTTCATTTACCTACACTGGTATTTCCTGAAGGTTAGTATAAAAGTGGGAATTCCTGTCTTCTAGTGGGTCTGGGTCCGAGCACAGTGTATCAAACAGGGTAAGGACAAATGATGTTGCTGTGGTATGCCTGGAACTGGTGGTATTTAAACTTAACCATAGAAGTTGTATTTCCAGACAAGGCCTACAGGTGATGTCTGACCTGTAGGAGAGGAGATGCAGTCTTTTTTATTTGTGTAACAATAGGAGTAGTGGAGATGGAAAAAAGGAAAGGACCACCTGCTGGGCCAAATTTTGCCAGAACTGCATTGTAGCCTAGAGAAGCGCAGGCAGTGCGCTGCCATCTCCTGACTCCGCTCCATTCACATCCAGAGCGGAATCGACAGTGGCCAGCTAGCCTGTGTTATCCATTTGCCCATTTCACCGCTCTTAGTAAATGTGCAGCCTGAAAGTACAGCCTGAAGTTAGGAATGCCAACCCCTCCACCTCAGCAAATTTAGTGTATTGAAGTTTAGACAGAATCTTCTTCCCCTCCGCATATAGCACAGCAAGAGGGAACGAAAATATTTGAAAAAAATGGCTGGGCAGGGGGCAGGGTTATGAATAGGTAAAGATCCCTTGATAGTGCCATCAAATCAGGCATTTCTGGCATCAAGTCTGGTTCCCTGCTCAAAATGGAAAAGTAGACATGTGGCAGACTTCAGGCCTAGATTTTTGCTCCAGAGCCAAGGTAAAGTATGAGTGCAGCAAGGGGTTGATCTGGTCCCATCTCGTATTCGAGCCTGGGAGGAACCAGGTGGTTTATTAGTTTTCCCCGTAACGGGTTAGTTGCAGAGAAAGTGTGCCGAGATTTGCAAAAACGCAAGGGAGCTTAGCAGAATGTTGCCATCATCCACAATGTCCCAGCCATGGCTGCGAGTAATCTGTTTTAAATTTCATTTTTTAAACCAAAGGGCGTGGACAAAAGGGGCTGGACAGAATATAACATATAATCCCCCCCAAAAATATTTTATTTTTAGGACTCTAGGTTGCATTTAACCCCTTTCCAAACACAATGGGACTAGGAAACCTTAGGTTTGGGGGGTCCAGGGACTGCTCATTTACTTTAACCCTCCATCTGTCATTCATTGAGTGAGGGTTAATCTGGAAGACCCCACTATTTCTTATCCACAGATCTCTCCTGTTGTTAGTGGATTCTTCATTTACAATTAGCACCATAAATAAATAATGAGCCAAATTTTGTTGTTCACGTACTTTGTTATTTGGCTTGTTTGGTTAGCAGACTATTACATAAATTCATAAAGATATCTGGAATAATTTGATAATTTTTCATTCATATGAAACACAATACATAGTTGAACGACAATAATAATAAACTCATATATTTGACTTCAAAGTTATATTTTAATGTTATAATTTTGGGTCAGAATCCAGTAAAATTCATAGACTAGAAAAAGATAGAAACTAATAAACTAATTGTGCATTCTGTTTGCTATAAGATAAATATGTTGTGAAAAAGGTGGCATCTTCAATAAATTTTAGATGTATCTGAATCTGAATTGAACAGCAAAACTCCAAAGGCTGCTTGCTCCTTTAAGAGAATCACGTCTTAACTCTTATATAGAGCCATAGATTTGGGTAAAGAGATCCCTTGCTAAAACGTTTTGCTCCCAAGGTATGCATGGAGAATACAGGAAATACCCTTGTTCTACATCTGAACACTTTTAAAACCAGCTCCAGGTCAATGTACTTAGCAGAAGTGGATTTTGTTACATTTTTACGGCTAATAAACCTAATGGCAAATTAATAATTAACTACAAAATAAATTTTGAGTAAAATAAGTGTCTTAGCATGCGGAATGCATTCTTCTTAAGATGAAATGATTTTGAATAAAATAAAGCAGGCAAGTGGTGTGTTATCTTTCACTTTGAGGAAATGCGTAATGTTAAGTATGTTTACACAACAAATATCCTTTGAGAGTAAGTTCAAAGGGCTCTGTTATATGCTGACA